GGGGGGGGGGGGGTGCATGCGCGTGTGCGTGCGCACAGAAACGTAAACTCAGAACACCAGAGCTGAGTAGCGAGATTGTTTTTTTTTTAAAACAAGCTTATCCTGTGAGAAGAATGCATTTCACTCTCTTAATCGTGTTTTCCATGTATTCATTTTTCCCCTGTAACTATATATCTGGCAAGCTTGAAAAAAAAGAATGCGGTTATAAATCCATCTAAAGTTTTATTTTATAGCACTGGTGTTTAGAAATAGCAGTCAAGATGATGCTGTATAGCTGGTCTTCATATAACCATATATCCGAAAAATAATTTTTCCCCATCAGGTGTACCATGCATATTATAAACCGTTGGAGTTTACTGTGGCTGAGAGAGATGCAACTCAGTGTTATATAAAAGTAAGTGTTCTGAACATTTAGCTTTTATTGAAACAAAAGAAAACAAGGCTCTAATGTGATATGAGGAGGAGCATTTGAAAGATTGCCAAAAAAAAATCTCTCAAGACTGATGGGATCTTTTCCCAATTGACAGACTTTTTTTCCTAACCATTGATTCACAAGTTCAGTGCTCCTTGCATTGTGCTTTACATCTTCAAAGCACTTTACAAATGTTTAATTAGCAGTGCTGGCTGCTGCAACTCCCCTTGATAGATGGCATCTGGGGACTGTGGCTACCTTGTTAAGGAGTTGTTGAGAATTCGATTTGGATCAGAATATTTAAGACATAAGACATTGTGCATCCCCACAGAAGGCTGTTTCTTGTCATCAGCCAAAATGTAACATTTGAATTGTTTTTTGGAGGAAATACTTTTTTAATGAAAGAAATCGATTTACAAAATGAGATTAGTGGTTCCACAGCTGCTATGTAGAAACAGAGGCTTCTTGGTTTTCGACCAGAGCTTCAGACCTGATATGTATCTACTTTTTTAACAGTTAATTTGATTATGAGAGAGTTTTCTGCTGCCCCACTTTACTGTATCAAGGAGCTTGACTAAGATAAAGGATGGCATCAGTGGAATATTTTATACATTTTATAGTGGGGGACTAACTTTTTTCCTTGCAATGAGATGAATGTCGTGATCAAACTGGTCCATCTCAAAGTATCATGCTCCCAGTTTACCATACATAGAATATCCCGGGCATTTATAACTCTAGGGATTTTCATCTATGCTGTTTGTCAAATGCAGCTGCTTAAACAGTTAAGTAGATTCCCATTTTATGTTTGTCCTCCAGCAAAGAATTGAAGTGCCATTGCTTCTCATTTAAACATTGCCAGTATCTGAGAACAAGAAACCAGCAATGTGTCTGCTGAGTCATTTAGCATATAGTGTTCTAAACTTGCTCTCAAAACAATTGAATGAATGTTAAACTTCTTATATCTGAACCTCCGAGGAGTTGTTTTGATAATCTCTCCATTGTTTAGAAGTCTCTTATCACTTATACTACTCGAGTGATGAGTGAATCCCCAGTCCTCATGCAGTCTTAAATAAAATCTGCTTGATCTGCGTAGCAAAAACTTTTGGTCTAGTAGAGATTCAGTAGATATTAGTCTGAGAAAAATGGGAGGCTGACCTGTATAAAACACTTCAAAATGTGGTTCTGAAACACAGGTGAGTGTTCAGTGAGTCAGGAGCCCTTAGAGTCTGTTTCCTGTAGCAGATTTACCACTCTTGGCTTCCTTTTGGACACGATTGTTTTTAAGACACATTGTTTCTATGGTACTTTGCCGAATGTGGTTGCCGTCAGGGTTCATTGACTTAATTATGGAATGTCCTTTTGGCCATCAGTGCCCATTCTGAGCCAGAATGATGTTATCCTGAGGTAGGTATTGGACCTCACACAGCATTTATTGGATATTATCCAAGTAACCAACCAAACCACATTTAATTTTGTTCAAATTATTCTTCAATGACTCCATGAACTATATAGGATACAGATAAGCCCAAATATTAGAATGGGGTGGCCTTAAAGCATTGATTCAGGAGTGGGTTTAAGGACATGCTTATCTCTCTCAAACGTCAGTTGGATTAAACATATGCTCAAATTCTTTTTTCAGTAGAAATGGCTTGTAGAATTGGGATCTTGGGGTACTCTAATTCTATTTTACCCAGCCTTTTGGCCTATCTTTAGATTTTTCTAAGAAAAGATCTCTTTGTGGTGAATTGTTTTCAGATGGTGTGCTTGCGAGAAAAAGAGCAACGACTTCTTGGCCTACATTTTATTGGACCAAATGCTGGTGAAGTTATTCAAGGATTTGCTCTTGGAATCAAGTAAGTACAAAAGAATGTCTCTAGCTTCGAAAGCTTGTGTTTTAGGTTACTGTAAGATCATAAATGATAGCTGCTTAATTTTGGCAACACTATAAAGAATCAGCGTTTTTATATTACTTTTATGTAGCATTACACATTTGCACTAAAAATAGTGCCATTCTTTATTAATATATACTGGATGTAGTTACAGAAATACTGAATATACTTAAGGCACAATGGAGACAAAGTAATATTGCAGGACCAGAAAAACTAAAAAGTCAATTTGTGCATCCACCTGCTAACTATGGTTTCTTCACAAGGAGGATTCTCTCACTAGGGAGGAAGTTGTCCTGTAAACCTGCCCAAGCCATTTTTTAAGTCTATTGTTACATTTTGCACAAAAGACCTCCATTATACCTGTTCAAGACTCCTTTTTTCTGCTTCGTCGATGTGCCAACTTCAAGGGCCTGATTCAAGGGTAACCTAAAATGAGACTAATGACAACTCCTCAACCAACTGGAGAGGACAACCTATAATGAATTCTTATACTTTGGGGTATAAGCTGACCGCTAATTGAGAAGGCAAGGAAGACAGTTCTGTAGGGCAGGAATCAGAGAACAAGTTACTTCATCATTTTCCATCATGCACTTTCCAAAGCACTTGATACCAGTTTAACTTCCAGGACAAGAGACTAAGTAAACTGATCTAGATTAGGAGGTTTTTTTTCATTGAAGCAGGGACAATTTTCCCCTTCCAGCTGGGTGTACTGCCTTCTCCTTGGTCCTGGCCCCTGCTGCTCCTTCGGAGTAAGGGATCAGAGCTGTTCCAGGGTCCTCTCTGATAGCATGGAGCATTACCTCTAGGTTTCAGATGTACTATAAAAATCATTCTCATATGTCCCTTTGTGACTGATTTGCTTCTTCATAAATGTTGATGTATATATTTAAATTATTATAGAGCTTCACTCCACATTAATTTATAAAGAAAGCAAACTCCATGGCCTGAGAAACACTTTTGTGAAGGTAATATTAATTTGCTGTCCTCAATGCCATTACCAGATCATTGTGGAGTTTGTAGGCTTTTATTTGTGAGTGACTAGCACAAATGAAAAGCAGAAAAGATTGGGAAGGGAGGACCACAAGCATAATGTGGGGATATCTCAGAAATCACTGATTGCAGTCCACACCAAGTACACATATTTCCAGCATGTGTTCATTGTCCATTAATTGCCAGTGGTACAGATTCTAGAATTGTAGTTTTTAGAATATCATTGTTTTGAAGTTTTATCCAAAATAACCATTGCAAAGGAAGTACATGAAGAGCTTTTTTTTCTGCCTTGCCTGAGGGGAGTCAAAATGCTAGCTACCACAAGAGGTTTTCAGAAGGTCAAACCCCAGTATTGGTATGTTATTATATTTCATAACTTTTTGCAATGTAGAATACACCCACGGTAGGTATGAACTGTTGCCTTTTGTTGAGTATTAGCTCTTATCTTAATCCTTCTTTAAAAGGATGATTTTGTTTTCCACATTCTACACTCTATTAACACAATACAACCTGCCATGATTCCCCTCTATGGAGATTTCTGGATGTGTGAGACACTAAAAGAAATTTCACTTGTGACCTTGGACAAATTACTTAATTTCTCTGTGTCTCAACTTTTCATTTATCAAAATGAAGATGATAATTGTTCCCTTACCTAAAAGTGTTATGGGGGTAAGTTCTTCACTGCTTACCCTACTTCTTTCAACAACCTTGAAAGAAACCGTTTTGTTTTTGTTGAGATGAGAAAAGCTGTTGTTGGAACAGTACCGTTAAACCAGGGGCAGGCAATTATTTTGGGCGGAGGGCCGCTTACTGAGTTTTGGCAAGCCATCAAGAGCTGCATGACAGGCAGCCAGGAAATATTAATTTTCCAATTTTTTTAGGGGCCTCGCAAGCCAGATAGAATGGCCTGGCGGGCCGCATCTTGCCCACCCCTGCTAAACACAGCTCCTCCATTGGCTCTTACTGCATGGAAACAGGGAAAAATAACTCCAGCCTAGCACTTGAAGCAGCAGTCTGGATACTTGTTGCAGACATTGTGCAACTTCACTTTTCCTATGATCATTTTTTATAGATGTGGCGCTACATATTCACAGATGATGAAGACAGTTGGCATCCACCCTACCAGTGCTGAGGAGGTAACCAAGTTACATATCACAAAGCGCTCTGGCTTGGATGCCACAGTCACAGGCTGCTGAGGTTAAGTACCATCCCTGGAGAGAAGGAAAAGGAGCACACAAGAGAACTGACAAGGAAAAAGGGCATCCTGGCAGAAACAGCTTTGACAGCTGCTGCCATTTCAGGCTTCACTCCTTTAGTTTGGCAGCAAGAAAGAAACTTTAGTCTTGCAGCCAGACTGAACCTCTCTGAAGAACTGCCCAGACAACAATCAATGCGCTGCTTCCAAAAATCCTATTTCCCTGAAGCATATCATTTCTGAAGTGCCTGGATCCTGCTGGAGGTTTCAAAAAAAAAAGGGGGGGTTCGTTGCATTTTATGTAAAAATGTATCTTTGTGCTCATCATTCAGCGTCTGAGGCCAGCTTGAACAGATGTCACTTGGTTTATACCACTAACCACTGGCAGATTACTTCCCCCTTGTGGGCATGTTGAACCCTCAGATAAGTGCACTGTCAAATTGAAGCGGCTTGTGGTGTGCTCCGAAGAATGCCAGGAGCCCGTTTGACAGGATGTGGGATTTTGACAGCCAGAGTCCGCCCCAGAGAACACCTTACTGCTGAGGTTCATCTGTGGGGAGTAGTAGTAGTTCATCAGGCTGCCCAAGGCTCTTGGGTCCTTTCAGTTTTTATTAGGTAACAACCACCACTTCCTCAGTCGCATCTAGCAGAGTGACTCGGAACTGGTGCTGATCACAAGAGTTCCTAGTCAGCACACCCTGATAGAAAGCAAACCCTAATATGTCTAGCAGCCATCATTGTTTCATGGAAACATACTGGGTATAGGAATTGGTAGCAGAGGAAAATATGAAGTGGCCGTTTCAGCTGCCATGCTGTCAGATGAATTTAATGTCGGCAAAGACAGAGTGTCCCAGAGGAGTCTGGCAGATTTTATTTAACAGTTTGGAGACTTGGCCGATTAAGCTTTTCCAGAAAGAAGTTGGTTTTGGTGGTTAAGTTCCTGCATAGTTTTTAAATTGTTAATTAATTTCAGATCAAACTGAATTGAAACATCACACGCATTATTGATCCCTTGCCAAACACTAAGCAATGTTGAAACATTGGATTCAAACCTAGAAACACATGAAGTTGTATTGGCTGTTCAGTGAGCTCTAGTCTTTCAGCAATAAATAGAGATCTGGTTTATATGATACGTTTTTTAATAGATTTGCATTGATAAACCAAAGCCCCCTTAAGCTCTGACAAAATTAACTTGGGAGGAGAGGGAAAGGAATTGGATTAAGTTAAAAAAACAAAACCAGAGAAAAGGTGCGCCTGTTCAGAGCTCACTTTGGAAGATGCCTATATGCAAGCTGTTCTTTGAGGATACTGGCCAAACTTCCTGAAAGAAAACATTCATGTACTGTGAGCTGCTGCTTATTTTTGTGTTGGCCAGAAGGGGGAGATGCTGGCTAAGCTGTGGCAATTGAAAGAGCGACAAATTAAATAGCAAAGCTTCTTTAGCAGGAGGCTGTTCTACAGGTAAATAAAACCCTTAGGATTGCATTCCAAGTTGCAATTTGTTGCTTGTATTTTGATAAGCACAATCAGTTATTTACTTAGTATCCTTTAAAATAGAATAGAGCATGTTGGAAAGGGAGGCGCAAGCTACTATTCTCTGGAAGGAAAGACCAAATAAAAACGAGTCTTACTCTCTATTTAGAGCAGTAGTTTTGCAAGTCAGTTTTGACAGTTCTGCATAATTCCTAAGGACTGTTTGCCACTTCACTATACCTTTGGCATTTTGTCTTATGCTTGGAGAAAAGTCAACTTGGTTGACTACTTCACAGCAGGCTATACTATAAACCAATGGTAGATCTGTCTCAAGTTTTAAATTATTTCTTATCATCAGAATTGTCCCTGTCTCAAAAGCTATTGGAAAATAGCTTCTGGAGTTTGATCAGACAATATCAAAACAAATTTAACAGTACTTATCAACATGCTTTCAAAGTGGTATTAAAATATGTTATTTTCAAAGAGCTGATTGCATTTAAAAACAACACGGTCTTAGCTGCATTGTTTCCAAAGTTTCCTCCTGCTTCTGCTCTATAAAAGGAGTGATTCAAGGAGTGATCCTGTTTGATTGAATGCAGCATGTGGCATTTCTCATCATACCTGTTGATATATTTGATTCTGCCCTGAGATAAAGTCTTCAGGCATTCAGTGTAGAAGGAATGCTTTGCAAACGGAAATCTGTTTGGAATACTGCCTATTAGTTACTGTTCCCTTCAGAAAAAAAAATGTTATGCAAGTGTCATGTTCACACATGTGGAGTCAAAAACTCTATCATTCCTTTAATATACAAGGGTGTTCTGCACAAATATAATTGTGTACCTGAAATGCACCACTGGTTATTTTTAAGGCAGAAAAAAAGACCACATAGCAAACCCATTCTTTCCATGTATTTGAACTGTTGAGCATTTTAGTCTGCATATGTCTTGCACTATGACAGCAGCCCTCTGCTGATTAGAAGGGATATGTGTGTGTTGAAGATTTTTCTAGTGAATCCCCCCATTCTAGTGAATCCCCCCGTAGCACCAGCATTGTTCCCTTTAACCATGTGGCAGGTTGCTGTTCTACTCAAGTTTTACCCATGCACGTGACTGGATGTATTACATGCCAATGGAAGTGGGTCCAGAGGGAAGATGAGTTAACTTCACTCCTGTCACAAGACTTGGGATGGAAACAGTAGCTTGCTGCACTACAACCAGCAAAGAGAGCTGGTGGGAAACTCTCCAATGTCTTGTGTGGGGTGTGAAATTTTTCCATATCATCACTGTCTAAAGTAACCTTTTAATGGGGTACTTTTTGTTTTTAGAATCACGAAACTGAGTCCATGAAAATTGATCTTGCCTCTTGAATTGCATCCTGGCTCTGGGCCTCTACTTAGTGCAAGGCATTGTTGCCCATTGAAATAAATCTTGATGTACCTTCATGCCCACATAGCATTGATGTCAGAATGAAGAGTGAGGTAGAATAACTGAAATGAGCACAATTGCTCTTATTTTCCTGATGGACTCCTTGTGTGCGCTCCAGGGATGGCCTTTTGTAAGAAAATGAGCCTGACTAATGCCAATTGAAAGTGTTATGTATGCTGCGACGTATGGAAGATGTGAGCTGCAAGTGTGTTTAAATACAGTTGGGCAACTTTTCAGGATGCCAGCTAATGACGGCTTGTTTGTCAAGCCACACAGTGGGGTAAACAAGTCTGATGAATTCTGGCTGCCTATTAAATATATCTGATCCTATTATTTATTGTTACATTTAAGATTAATAAAGAATGATTTTTCTAGAATGTGTCAGAATGTCTTTGTCTAATTTCTTTTAAATTTCTGGTCTGTGCTTATTGCAACTTTCTCCTCCACATCTCAATAAAAAGTGGGACTATTTCTGGTGACAGGGAAACCAAAAATTTAAAATCAAAGTAAATGCCTTGAGCCTGGAATCGTATGTGGCTCTTCTAGGTAAAAACTACCTAGGGATTTTGTTCTTAAGTTAGCACCGAGAAGCATATTGTCATGATTGTATATGGCAACTCCTACATGGTGACCCTATGTTTTGAATTTCCTGGGAGGTTTCACTATAGTCTGTGGCTTTGAGAGAACTAGTAGCTCCCTCCCTTTTATTTGAATTCAAGCGGTGATTAAAAAGCAAACATGTGGGCATCATTCTTGAACTTTTCCCCGTATAGTTTCACAAACTATTTTAATCCAGATCAAATAACAATTAAAGAATAATAAAACGTGCCTGTTTAGGCCAGGCTTTATATGACTTGGTAATTCACTATTCTGCATAATTTGAATTTTAAAAAAAATACACCCAAAGGACTTGTTTATGCTTAATTTGCCATTTTAACTGTTTGCATGGTCTTAAAAGGGCAACCCTTTCTGTGTGGATGTAATTATAGCAGGATGAAAGTACTTATATCAGTATAGCTTATTTCAGTTTGAAAACCAAAATAAGACATTCTAGTAGAAATACTTCTGTACTCCTACGCTAAGGTTTTTACTGGAATATCTATGCTGACAAAAAAGCACACCTCCAACCCAACCTAGTTTCACCAGAAATACTTACGTTTAGACTAACTGCTAGGATTTTCCATGGCCTGAAAGCCTCTTCAACCATCCATCTCTTTTCAGCAAAGCACCAAAGCCAGTGTGTATAGTTTGCCATGACTAAATCCCAGTGAAATCAAAATGCTGAAATGTGTTTCCTTCTATTAACGTTGATGATTACAGAAAGCATTTTAATAGGAATGAGTGCTAGTAAACGTCTAAAGGTCTTGCAAAAAAAGCAACTTAGACTTCAGTTATTCAAAATATGAAGGACACAATAGACATTGAATATTAATCATTAAATATACACATATAGTCTTATTTTAAACAATAATGTTTCCAAATAAGACACCTCTCTCCAAGCTGAATGTATGACTTGTAAAATACATCCTGGCATTGCTTGTTCTGTGCTTTGCATTAAGAAAAAAAATGTATTTTTGCTTGTGAGGTTGGTTATTTATTTATTTATTTTTCTTTTCTAAAGCTCTTCAGACAGAAAGGTACAACTTCTACATACACAGAGGTTCTAGCACTAAACTTTTAAAATTATGCTGGAGGTTAAAAAACCAATGCTTTCTATTAAAGCACTATGCAAAAGATTTGGCATAATGACTTAAATTGGTTACAAAAGAATTAAGCATTGCTATCCACAAAATGTCAGGGAGCTAATTATATTTCCATTGTGGCACTCAAAGTCAATATTGTCAGCTATTCTTAGTTCTAATCCTCTACATTGAAGTTTGATGGGCCAGGTGAAATATTTCATTCAGCGCCTCATGGCAGCTCTTGTCAGTCATCCTGCCATGAGAAACATGCATGTTACAAAGGTCCTGGCGGTGCTGTGGTATTATGTATCTGATTGAACAACATTTAATCTTGTGCACACCTTAAGAAAACATTGTTCAACCTACTGGGGCTGTATAGACATGGATGAGACCCTACTTGTTGGGAAAAGCAAAAGAAAATTATCTTGTCTTTAACGGGTATAATGAAACCTTTAAGACATGTCAGCACGAAGGCAGTATAGTGAACTTCACTGCCTCTGGAGGAGGCCACAATTAGGACGGTCAACTGATGCAAAAGCTGAGTGCAGAATCCTACGCTGGTAAGTAAATGAGTGCAAATGCCTCCCTCTTTGAGCGTGTGGTTGCAAGGCTATAGCAGGCGTGCCAGCATTTATTTCAAGTAGTCCCTTTGCTCTTGCTAACTTCCCTAGCTATAAAGTTAAGATGACAAATTGGGCTCCTTAGGTACCTACTGAATTCCTGACTTCCACAGACTCGACTCTGTGACCTTGGGCCTGTCATTTAGGCCTATATCCATGGGAAAGACTTGGATGTCTTGGTCTAATCCTTAGCTTCCCCTCCTCCTAATCCAGAAGGTGCATAACGTGACAACACTGAAGTTCCTTAGACATCTGAAGTTTGGTTTCTGGGCATATCCAGAGCACTTCTGTTCTGACAGTGCTGAGTAGCTGGGCCCCTTTTTTAATTAAAAAAAAAAAAAAAAAAAAAAAAAAAAAAAAAAAAAAGGCTACATAACATAAGCTGGGCCCCTATGTCACTCCTAAGGCCTGTCAGAATTCACAGCCTAAGCATTTCTCCACTTCTCACCTGATGGGCTCAATAGCATAAGTGTTCCTGGAGCAGGTCAACCTCTGCACAAAACAGTAGTTGCTGCTGCCATGTCCTCAATATTTCCTATTAGCTCAGTTAATAATGTTGCAAACTGGCTTTTGCAGACCCGATTCTGAGCCATCTAACTCTCCCCATGCTCTGCATAGGTAGCCCGTGTACCTAACGAAGGGAGCTGGGGAAGCCAGGAGCCAGCAAGCTGGGTGCTAAGCATGACGGTTTAAGTCACTTGGATCTGCACCTCAATCTCGCTGTTTCCTCTTTGGAAAGTGGGGAATAATACTTCCCACCCCACCCTTTGCTCTATCTACATGGAGTGTGAAACCTTTGGAGAAGGGACTACTTTATGTATATCTTGCACCTTGCTGCTAATCTTATCTGGGACTTTCTCAGTGTTAGTATAAAAAGTATAATCAAGTCACGGGCCAGTGTTTGTTGGTGCTTTAGTGTGCTTTTTTTTTTAATTAAAGAAATGTCAGGTGTTTCTGTACAATACAGACAGAACTTGAGGCAACGTTGTGTAGTGGACAGAGTAAAGGATTAAGAGTCAGGGCAAGGCTCTGGCATCAACTCAGCTTGTAGCAGTGGGCAAGTCACTTGCAGGTATATTGTCTGTTTCTTATGATACCAGGATGGCTACCTCACCGTGAACTGAGTCTCAAACAAGAGGCACAGTGTGAGTAAAAACTGGACAAATTAATCTATAAACTATCCATTATAGTTGAATCCCTCCCAACAACCATAGATTTTTGTAAAAATCTAATAACAAAGAAGTCTCCCTTCTGTCATACTACTTCTGCACAAGGACAGAGTAAAGACCCGTGATGAATTTTTCAGGTTTAGAGCCTGGATTTAAAATCTCCCTTAAAAAATTGTGGGGGGGGTTTCTTTTCTTTTCTTTTTTTTTTTTTTTTTTTTTTAAAGAATCCCCTAGATTCTGCTTAGCAATCATGGAAAATCCTTTTGGGTTAGCTAATCCATCTCTCTTCCACACCAGCATTATTTCCTACAGTCCATTTCTAAGTGTAGCATTGAAGTACTCTGTGCCATTATTTTGTTTCCTATAGACAAGCTCTTGCACATCCAACATCTGCTGGTCCTACAGTGGAAAATTAATGTCATCCCTGAGAGGTTGGAATATAAACTAATGAGGCAGGTTTCCAGAACTTGATTGCGTCAGTCAGAAAGTTACTGTATGAGGAGAAAAGTGGATACTCCCTGGGGGAAGAGTGAAATGGAGACCAGTCTTGTTTGAACAAGGTGCTCTGCGTTGTTAGCTGCATCGAGGTATTGGGAGCTTGCAGCCTGTCAGAACCAGCATCTCCGAGGGGAAAAACTGTTTCAGGCAAAGGTTTCTTCAGAATTCCTTGCAAGGGAAATCCAGGTTCTCCAATATAGTAATACTAAAAATCAAGGCACTGCCATTGTTTGACATTGTATCCACCAGTAAAACACTCTCCATTAAAGGTGAAGGGATGGGAGTATCCTCCCATTTCCTTTATGGTGTAATGCAGACTGGAAAAGTTTTATTGCTACCTATTTTTCATTGTTGTTTGTTTCTTTGTTTTCCCACCTTAGCAGCAATGGGAGGTTCGAAACTTGTCTTTTGTGTTTGGATTGTGGGAGCAGAGAATTGAAGTACAAGGGGGTTTTGCTCTCAGTTGACATGGCAAGTTTCTGAAATATTTTACTGGGAGAACTTTCTTCCAGAGTTCGGTAGGGGGTTGAGTTAAATTATGTTAAGACAAGACAAGACAAACCAAAACTACAAAGTTTTAAAAAAACCCAGGGCTGTGGATCTTTTTCCCCACTCAGTGCTTGGGTCTTTGTCATGGGCTATATAACGCCTATGGTTCTCCAAACCTCCAGTCAAAGCCAGAAAATAAAGACTTCATGCTTCTAATGCGCAGGTTTGGAAATTGCAGCCATACTGAGCGGAGTGGGGTATGCAGCTTTCAAAATTATTAAGCTTTAAAAAAATACATCTAAACATAGAAAAATGAAGGATACTATGTCCCCATCTTTGCAGGCCACCTGTAAGAGACAAAGTCTGAATGTATTAACCACTGTGTTCTGCTGCAAACTCTTGACTGAAAATTGGTTACTTTACTTTGGTTTCTTGATAAAATGTGAATGAATCTCAACTGAGTACAGTCAGCTTCCATTCAAGATGGTATCAACGTAATAGGCTTTCCCAGTTGTTTTCAACTATCTTATTGATTTGGAGTCTTTATTAAGAATGCACAAACATCTAGGTTACTTGGTTTAAATGATTTTGTTTAGGGACAAACGATTGGAACTGGGCATTTTTAATCATTCTTGATAACACAAGATTGTTTCTGTCTCTTTCAAAGATGAAGAAGGCAGTGCATTAATTTGCAACTTCATGTGAAGGCAAGCTGTGCAAACAGCTGAAAACATCACGAAATTCAGGCTTTTTCCTCAGAGAAATGTAGCAGACTAATGTTCTGTTGGCAGGAGTCTTCTAAATAATCCAGAAAATATTGTTCTTAAATGCAGCAGTTTGGAAGTCAAGCCGTTTGTGTTTTTTAAATCACTGCTCAGTTTGGCTACATTTCGGTAATGTATAAATCAGTAATTATTAGTCAT